GAAGGCAGCTAGTCATCACCGCCCAACGCCAACTCTTGGGCTACTCTATTACCAACGAATAGTGGGATTGACCGTACCATTATAATGCCCCCAGGGCTGAAAGGACGAACTTGTTTGGTGGAACGAGGATTAGAACCCGCGACCCGCAGATTGAGAGTCGATTGCCCTAACGACCTGGCCATTCCGGGCCCAATAAATGTATAATAATGCAACATAGTAAATGCAACAATTTTAACAGAACATACATTAATTTGAATAGGGTCTTTTAATTACCTGAAAAAAAAAAGAAAATTATTGTCAGTTTATATTAAATACAATGAAAAATAAATGTTTTTAAACAGAGAAAAATAGATTCAGTTATAAGGTTTAGTTATGGAATGCTGTTGTAACCTGTAAACCCATTTCCTCATTTGGCTGTACAATGAAAAATCAGATTTTACAAAATTATGGTGTATTTTTCACTTTTGTTTCATATCAATTGAACATCTCACTGTATTTTGATTGTAAAATTAATATTTTCAATGACAAAAACGCATTTAAGTCTTTCGTTCTTGAGATGAGAAAGTGTGATGAATGTTCACATTGAATTCACTCAAGATTCTTAACCTATACCGCTCCTAATTTGTTTTTTAAACCGTTAAAATGAAAAGTAAAAAAGTAATTTCATGATTTTCATTACATTACGTTTTTATTAAAGTTTTCTAAACGTGTAGGAAATATATTTTTGAATAAGGAGCAACATTTCATGCTACAATTAAAAAATGAATCTTCAGTAATCCTCACCGATCTTTTATGATGTGATTATTAGTTTGTTTGTCGCCATTTATGATTTTAATTTTGTATTCTCAGGAAAATTTTTAACTTTAAGGTAAGAGAAAATAAGAATGTGATCAAAAACTTTATTGAGTTGATGCAAGGTTGTAGAAATGTGCACATTTAAACTTATTTTCTAATTCTCAAATGTTTGTTCTCATTAGTGCCCGAAACTGATATTTAGTTTGAATTTATTCATTGTAGTTACATTATAAACAGTTTTAATGTAAATGACAGGATTAATGAATGTGATATATTCTTGTTGAATTGTAACAGTAGTAAGATCCGGGGACATAGCTTTAAAATTTGGTGTGACCAAATATATCACGATTTACCAAAAATAATTTTCTAATAGCTCATTAACTTTGTAAATGGATTGCGATCTAGAGAGTTAAGGGCCGCAACTTTGCTGGAGTTTAAAAGAAGATTTGATGACTATTTTAAGAATAAAGGTTGGATATAATTTTTCGAATAGATGAACTAGAGCAGAACGTACTGTCACCCAAGTCATTTGTTATATATATATATATACAACTTAACATCAATGAAATAGCGACCTTAGTTTGTTTTGTTTTATTACCTGCCTGTTCACCATTGAAGTAAGGCAGAACTCCTGAAGGTGCCTGTGTTTACACTTATTCACACATTTAGAAACCATGCAATTTTTTTTTTCATAAAACTAAGCCCCCCAGTGGCACAGCGGTATGTCTGCGGACTTACAACGCTAGAAACCGGGTTTCGATACCCGTGGTGGGCAGAGCACAGATAGCCCTTGTGTAGCTTTGTGCATAATTAAAAACAAAAAAAACATAAAACTAAATAATATTATACCTAATACTATCATGCTGCGACTGTTTATTCATAAACATTTTGATACTGAATATGTTATTTTACAAGGAATATTTTTGTTGTAAATTTACAACTCAAATAACCATGTATTAATTTGCTAGCACATTTTGCTGTAATTTAACAAGTTTTTTTTTTATAGTTTTACAAAGTAAAACATCTTATGTGCCTATGTTACCTCTTCTGATGTAAACAGTTGTTATAATTAGATTTTATTACTTTATATCTCTATAAGCTAAAATACAATGGTTATTTACTCATAGCCGTCCCTAGATGTAAACTGATAGACATGAACAAAGGAAGAGTCAAAAAAGTCAATTGTGAACTCCTGAACATTCTAATCGAATAGTTGAATTTAATCGTCACTTTTAAATCGAATCTCAGGCTCCAGATTGTTGAACGCGATTGTGCGACAATGGGACTCGGATTTACAGTTCAACATTAGGCCATGGCCGATCGCAATGTTATTAGATTTTTATGTATTGTATTATCGTTTTATAACAGTCGGGTTTATAAATAACAAAATAATATGTTTATGGAAGCCGATTATTAAAACAAACTAGCAAATTTATATATATATAAAAATATATGTTTATTGTAAAACATATGTAGATATCTCAGCGTTCTATTCCTAAATAGTAACTTTATATCTTTCGGTACATTGTAACTTTATTTTATTTAACACCCTGAAACTACAATAAACTACTTATTATTCC